TCCAGGTTAAATATTTAATTCCATACCGGTAGTTTTATTGAAGTTTATTAAGAAAAGAGATAATTTGTCCTCATGTTTACACTCGTTGTACTATAGTGGACATTTGAAATACTTACCATTATTTCCTATTTCATTTTAATTTCTCCAAGAAAACAATTTTATATACTCGTAAAAAATAAGAGTGCACACTTAATGAATTAAAAAATCCTAATGTTTTAGTCAAATTGTAATTGAATTCTTTTGCTATATTAGCTGCTAGTAAAAATCAGTAGTATGCCTAACTGTTTTGTTTCCTACAACCTCAACCGTAGAAAGAAGTAATTAATTTAACTGTATTGTAAGAACTAGATCCAAAACATGGGTTATTGACCTAAGAAACAGTGCTATAAAAATGAAATACTCACTAGCGACACTAGTAAACCAGAGTTATGTTTATGTGTGCAATTGTATGAATGTTACAAGAACGAGTGTTCCTCAAATATGGCCCACAACTGCTCCAGACAAAATCCTATGAATTAAAATGCGATACACAACAGATGAAATTTTCTTAGGTGTTTTCATTCAGTTTTTACATAGATATCAATAATTTGTCAAAGTATAATTTTCTTTACAAATAAACTAATAGTTATTACATTTCGTTATTGATTTTTCTCCAATGATTTCATCTGCAAGTAATGAGGAAAAAACGATGGGTGAACACGTGGATATACAGCTATGGTGAACAATATACAGTTTAAGATTCGAATTTAAAAACTAGTATAAACAACAATTTATATATTAGTATATCTAAAACGCTAAAAACTGGGTTGTAGTAATTCGATATGTTCACCATTTTCGATTTTAAATTTGGAAATTATTTGTTATGTTTTTAGACATTACCTTACTTTGATAATGTTACATAGGCCTACCTAAAACTAAACTCAATTAAAAATGTTTAAAAAATACCCAATTGACCAACTAACTGAAATGCTTACCCACAAACTGCCTAAGGGAGGTATGCATTTTAGGTAATCCAATGCTCAATTTTGTAGCAATATACTACATCCCTGAATAATTGTTTATCATATAAAATAATAAATACAGATAAAATGTTATGATCCTGAGGTTACCCTATCATGAAAGTAGTCTTTTACTGGACATAAAACATAATTTACATTTCAAGATGTAAGAGCTGCAGCGATGTTCCATTTATTGAGCTGTAAAACCTATGACTAGCCTGAATAAGATATGTCAAGAGAATATGATGTGGATAAAAAGAACTAATTCCAAAGCAGTAAAACCTGCTTCATCATGTAACAGTTGGATTATCTGGGTAAGGATCTTTACTTGAGCCACAACACGTGGTTTGGGAAAGTTCTAGCGTAACTTAGTAATTTAATCTATTTTGTACATCCTTTAGTGATATTGTATCTGTAATAAATATTGGATATAATTTTGTATTTATCTAAATTTTATTTACGAGTAGTCTGTACGCTTTATAGACCAAAATATGTTTATAATTAGAGTTTATTTGTAGATAGGCCTACATACTTTGATTGATATTCACATTTGGTTAATCAAAACGATATTGGTGTGTTGTATGCCCTAGATTATTTTTAGTATGGGAGTAATGTATAATCTAAACTTTTTTACTTAATACTATAAAACCAATAATTTTCAAATCACTTACTCTGTAGTATTTTCAAAATACTTACTCTGTAGTATCATTTTTGTTTGTAAGTGTATCGACTTTTACTCTGTGCTGAAGAAGATCACTGTTATGTGTAGAACTCACACTCACTGCATATATTATAACCAAGTGATATAGGTGACCGGACAAAACCGCCTCTTCGATTTTTAGAACTTAAGAAAGTGTATAAATCCACCGACATAGGTTTTTAACCTAAGGTGTTATTGTTTTTGTCTTTTTTTCTTGTGTAAATGTATTTTTATGTTTGTTTGTTGTATGAAAAAACAATAAAGATTTCTTAAAAAAAATCATACATAACAATCAGAAATCAGAAAATCTGTATTGCTTCATAAATGTATGAAACAATAACATGTGGGTTCGCCCAGACCTGAGACACCCTGTAACATTATAAATTTAGATAAACATATTAAAAATTCTTTAGGCTTCATTCATCCAAAATATTTATATTTACTAAATATATTAAATAAATATATTTACAAAGCTACAGAGTAAATCTAAGAATAACTTAGATTAAGTAACTTACACACTTGACGTTAAATAATTATTTAACGATGAAACAGTTCATCCCTAGGGCAAAGACCTGTTTGGGATGTTCTATTACGTACTTATGCGTATAAAACAGCTCAAAGATGGGATCACAGACATCAATAAATAATACACTCTAAATAACAGTTAACTATTTTGTCTATACAAGCAGCTTATTTCTAGTATGTAATAGGTGTTATTTAATAATATGCTTTTATGAAGGTGCACAATTTTGTTTCCTATCATTAAACACAGCAACAATTTTACTAATCGTTCATTCTCCTTGAAATCAGTTTTGATAGTGTTATGTTATTAATTTTATACTATTCAAATTTAATCGAACAAACGATTCTATAGCCAGTAGGTTAGCTGCAAAGAGGGTATTTGCAAGAGTCATTTCAAATGACCCAAACAATATTCACACTTATAATGCAACTTGTAAGTAATACAGGGTGTTATTACTCCCTTGGTTATGTTGGTGACAGAAAATCGTAAAACTAAATCAAGAATACTCCATCGTAGCATCGCATTCTCAAGGGATCCCACATCATATTTCCACCTCCCACTGAAATTTAAAGGATATAGGATTCAAGACTTCCTTGTCTTTGGTCTTGATTTCATCACAGATTCTCCATAAACAACTAGAAAGAGTGTCTAAAACATCAAAAACTAATTACCAGTTTTATTATTCTTAGTTCTTAAAGTCCCTGTCTTTGAAAAAAATCCATCACTGCAACCAAGTTATGACAAATGGAATATCAAAATGAATCTCGTGGTTAAGAAATAATTTTCTATGTGTTTTTAATACACAAAACTAAACCTTTATGGAACCAATGAAGTAGACATAGTAAGTTTTACCATTTACTATTGAATAGACAAAGGTTTTACCATTGACTATACACGTCAATGGTTTTACATACGCTTTTAAAAACATGCCATGAAAAAAATATTGGGCACCTGATCAGAATGAACTAGAATATACAAACAGCACAACCTGTCGGTGGCTTACATAAAGAGATACTCTAGTATTATTTTGAAATGTAGTTTTTCATCGCCACATCGTCGTAAATAAATACAACATTGTGAATAACTCTGTTTTGCACATTCTAACAACGACAAAATACTGTCTTTTCTAGAATACTTTAAAGAAATACATGCTAAAATGAACAAAAAAGTTAAACAAATTCTTGTATTTATGACATTTTGTCTGAAACTATTATATTTGTAGATAGATTGTTTTACATTCAACACGGAGAGTGGATTCGATATTGATAATGGTAGCAGGTGTCTACAATATGAAGGCCGTAAAACTCCTTTACTGTATAAAAAGTGGATCACATCGGGTTCCTACAATCTCAACGGCATCAATTTTATGTATAGTTTGTCTTTGAGGGTAGCTTACCTTTCCTACCTTTTGAGAAAATTACAATTTTTGACTTGTTCTCAAATTCAACTTAAGCTCTTAGATCAGATAATTTTTTACTGAAACTTAAAAAAATCTAGTTTAGTTTCCAAATTGTGCGGAAATGGTTTAGCATGTATACCAAATCCATGTATACACTATGAAATATTACAAATTATGAATTTGTAGAGCTTTCTTTGGTGTTAGTGTGTTTAGTTAAATTTATTTAGGACGCATATTCATACACACCAAAATACTATTAACATCATTAACGTATTCCGGAAGAAAGAGTTAAGAGAAATACACTATAAACCACCCAAGGTTCTACATTTATGCCATAGATTTATACCAGCCAGTCAAATCACCAAATCCATAAACAACCAATTTGTAGAGCTCTCTGTAAGTCCCAATGTAAAAATTGGCACAATCCCAGCAATTCGCTTCAGGTTTTTGATTTGTTTTTCTGAAGTTGCACTATCCACTAGAACTTTATCGCCCCTTTTCATTAGAATTGGCTCCATGCATTCTCAATCCTCTTTATTTACTAATGAACCTGAATTTCGTTGCCTGAATAGGTTGTTTATATCCTGTATACTTACTTTTATAACGCAAACATTTCAATCACCAGAATTAGTATAGTTAAATGAAAATTTAGTTGATTGTTTGGATTGATAAATAAGGTATATTCAAATTTCCTACCACACCTACTCTCAGTGTTTGTTTATACATAATACAAGACTAGAGATAGGCTGTGGTGTGTATTTTATTCCCAGAACACAGTTTAATAGCTTAGTAGTTATTCACGTTGCTCAAGGATGTCAAGGTTTGATGCCTAGTTTATATAAGGGATTAACTCTCTCAACAACAGTATTTTACATTTAACAAGCATATGTTAATCTTTCAATCACGAATAAAAACAAACATCACCCAAGAGAAAATAGTACTGTATATTTACGAAACTGTTGCTTGCAAAATCAACACCCTTACTTTAAGATTATTTGTAACAATATATTTACAATATATTTACAAAACTATTGAGTTATGACAACAGAGACCAACTTTCACCGGATTAAGGTTTGAATTGAACTGCACATTTACTAAAATTTAGCATACCAATAAAAACGAACTGTTATGTTAATTAAAGCTCTCTTCCTCTTCTTTTTTGTAAAAAAAATTTGTTAATTTAAAAATAGAAAATTTGAAGATCTTCTAGTCATTAAAAAAATAAATGAGCTAGGTAAAGAATCTAACAATTTGAAGAATATTCGTTTGTAGTTATGGGGTATGCTAGAGAGCGCTAGAGAGGGGTGGGTGGATAAGCTGTAGAGGGGGTGGTAGAGAGGTTAGTACAGTCTACTCTCAGTATGTGACTAACACTCGTCCAGTGATGAGACACCTTCCTACTGTAACTCACCTGACTGGCACGTGACTAAACATGTGGATGACTACTGCATACGTCATCATACTGTGTGAGTATACTGTCTAAATGCGTTAACTGATTAACATAACATTTTATTAATCCACTGTAGTATACATTTTATAATAGTATTATAGTGACATAAATACATTTTTATAGACTTACAATATACTTTAAAGATTATCATATTGTATTTTGTTGTAATGAAGAAATCGTGCGAAAAAATGTTATAACTTGGAAGGAGCTGTGTTACGAATCTGTATGATTATTAAAAATTAATAAATTTGACAAATACCATGAACTGTCCAGTACACATTATTTGTCTCATATTTATTTTACTGAGAAAAACAAAATTTGATACGACATTCACACTCACACATTTAAAGTGTCTATATAATGTCACATTGACAATATTATTGGGGTATTAATTGGTATTGCAAGGTTGTTATGTGAGATAGTAAACAATACCAAGTTTTGGACCATTTTCTTACAACAAACGTAAAAAATCTCGAATTACAGTACTATGATACACACGAAAAATAAAAATAAATATTATATTTACAATATTTATATTAACAGTTACTAACAGTTACTAACAGTTACTAACAGTTACTAACAGTTACTAACTGTTAACAGTTATATTAACAGTTATTTATATTGTAGATTTAATAATTTCCTAATATTTCAGTGCATCATAGTTAAAATTGTATACCCTTGAGGCATGTATACACAGAGAATGAAAGTAACTACTTAAGCTATTATTATTTAATGGAACATTTTTAGAGACCAAATTCCCCAAGGGGAAATATGAGGAATATAGGATACGTGTCACATATTTGATCACTGTTTCATATGTTGTGACATAGGACGAGTTATCATTTTCAATACAAGGTTAATTTAATAAGTATTAAGTACAAAACCACCCTGTACAATATATTTTAACCGTAAATCAAGTTTAAAATATACAATATTTAGTGCACAAAAAAAGAACGTGGTTGATAGGTTGATTTGATCTATTCTTAAAGATCTTTTGATTTCCTATCGGAGAAATCTCGCAAGTTTTAATTTGAGTTTAAATGATCTTTTGCGTAACTTTACTACTTATCTACTTACTACTTACTCACTACTTATCCTAGCCATCCAATAAACTAATAAAATTAAACCCTAAGATATGATAGGAACAAACATGGTTTTTCGACGAAATCTCTATTGATTAAATAAATTATGTATTAGACCTATATCCATTACTTAAATAATGTTTTTTATTATGCATAAAATGGTTACTTCATTATTCTGTACAATTTTAAACCACTTATTATAACATTAACTTTAAATTAAAGGGTTTTCAAATTAACCTAATTGAATTATTGGCCGAATGGCGAAATAGGCTAAGAAGTGCTTTTATTACTCTTCCTCCAAAATTTTTGGATGTGAGACCCTTTGGATGTACAAATCTATAGTCATCAACCTAATTAACTAGTTGAACATTTTACGAAAGTTATTACGAAATTTAACTGAGCACTGCTTTCTGCAGGCATATTTTTGAAACTGGTATAAGTAATACTTATAACATTTTAAAAAGTGATATTTGTAAATGTATCAAGTTTTTGTATTTATACATACTATATTTTTATATATTAAGTATTTTTATATAAGAAAAAAATCTGCCATAAAATAATAAACATATTAACTAAATTATAAGTCAAGAAAAATAAACACATACTTAAAAAAACAAAGGATAATTATAATCTCGAACATAACGTTCAGAAATATTTAAATTGATATCGTATTTCATAGGAATATTTACGTATTTAATGGTGGATAAAAAAATCTAGACAAATATATATTCACCAAACCTTAAATTCAATAGAAGCATCTAGTTGACAACTAATTATTTACTATGAAAATTATAATTTGACTTATTACTAAAAACTCAACTACTATATGAGTCTTTCCTTTATCGCTCTTTAAGTCTTTACATTATGGTATACATCATTATTAATTTTAATATCAACTCTAATTGGTCGTATTATAAATTCAAATCATTTATTATTTGTAAGCTTTTTTCCAACAAAACCTTATTAAAGGTGCAAAGGAACAAAACAAATTAGAAATTCTTAATAAAATAATTTATGTCACAAACAACCAAATTAATTTAGCGATTGTTTGTGTTGTTTGATCAATCATTATCCTCGTATGGATATTAGATATTACAATCGCGTAAAACTCTTTCACTTATGCATTTGCTTTTAACATAAAGAATTCCAGGATTGATCAATACAGCAGTGCAAAATGCATTTGAAAACATACATACACACATACATTTTATTCTAACACTTAATCCTAAAATATTAATTTAGAAATCCATGCATTCTGGATAGCCTGTTCGTGCTTTGGCTATCAATTGTTGATGCTATCTGGCAAAAGGTAAAAAACAAGACCAGAATTTGGACATTAAAAAAAAAACTTTTAAAACTCCTAATGAAGTGGAAATGCAAATACAAATCTTAAGTCTTCTATGCTATTCCTTAGGTTCTGTACACAAAGTGTTACTAGTGTGTAAACTATATAATTAATAAGGAGCCCGTTATCTAAATAAAATTAAAAAGGTTTTCCAGCAAAACAAACTGGACAATTAATTCTACAAGGGATCTAGAAAGCAAATTTTCGTTAACTAGCATTTGATGTACAGTATCTGAAATACGAGTATATATGTTTTAACCTTAGCCTGTCTAAGACGACCCGCAATAATTGGTGGCATTAGGAAATTTAATAAGTAACAATTGGGATTAGGACATTCTTCGTTACTAATTATAAGGATTTATACTAAACTAGCAGTCATCCGGCACGCATTGCTGCGCGTAACAACTATTATTTTAAATGGCAATTAGTTCTTTACGATGATTAATAAAAGTGTATACCAAAAATAAAAATAGAACATTTTACTTAATTTCCAGTGGATAAACAATGTTTTTGTTTTTTTAATTAGGTGTATAAATATATAAGTTTTCAGGCGTACCTACCACCACGTGAGCATGCAACATACAGCTGTCTGTGTGAAAAGCATGGATTTTCTAAATTTAAACCGACGATAATCAGGGATTGCCCTAGTGTCTTATAATGGTGATTGCGAAAGCAAGATTCATAGGAAATTGTAGTTGGTTAAATTCAGAGGGTAATTCGGATGAAATCATCAGTATTCTTGGGATTAATTTCTCCTTCAAACTTACCACTGATAATTTCTGCTTCAATCAATTTTGGTGTAATTTTTTTATCGTCAGTCTGGTAACGTTGCACAGTTTCGATGGATTTAAGTTTCGCATTAGTATTATTGGAGTTCCTTCTTTTAATTACAGTAATGTGGTGGGTTAATGACAAATTGAGAGGCATTTGAATACCCGAGATAGCACGCACGATTATTATTCACTTAATAATTTATGTTAGATTGTGTGGGTATAGAACAAAAGATAAAAATATTAAGGCATTGGCATCCCTTTTATTGTTTATCATACTTTGATAAAGGTTTTTATGTTTAAATATTTAACATTGGAGAATTTGAACGTTGTTGAGTGCACAGTTGTGCTGCAATTGGGGTTTAATAGATTTGGACTTATTCAAAAGTAAAATAGTTTTCTGTGCTGCACTCTGTAGAAATATTGTGGCTCTTTTTTAAATCATGACTAATACCAATTCTTTTTGTCTATAATCTATTTTCGTAATAATATGAATACAAACTTACAGGACTTGGGTAGGTATTTTGGTGATGTGTCCTTCATAAGGATTCATAAGTATTTCAACTCTATTAGGAGTTTTAAAAGTTGGGTTTTATTAGGGAACTGTCCAAATTGTAGTCTTGTTAGAATCTAACGTTGACCTTGTTAGTCAGATGGCATCATTAATTGATAGCCAAAGCACAAATGGCACAAACAGATTGCCTGGACAGAAAAATTAATATTTTAGGATTAAGTTTTAGAATGTTAAGTGTAAATATGTTTCCAAATTGATTTTCCACTAAACATAACATTGAATAGTTTTCAATGGTCGATTGATTGTTTAATATTATGACATTATTGGTGTTGTTAAACTTAAGTCTAATGGACATTCAATATAATAATTTAACCTGTCATTCATTAATAAAAAATACTAATGATTAATGAAGTTAATTCTTTCCAGTAGTTGAGATGATGACGATTACAACGTCAGAAAACACAACCCTCTCCTCTACCTCTACTTCCACCTCCAACTCCACCTCTACTTCTACCTCCAGCCCAGAGAGTGTGGACGTGGAGTGCAAGGATCGCTCCTACCTGGACAACTGTCTCAAGAAGTTGCCTCCCATCCTGGAGAAGTCTGAGATGAAGGGGATCCCCAGCTCCAAGACTGACGTCGACGCGTCCTGCAGGTGGGAGATACTAGTGTTGGTGTGGCCGGGTTGGGATTTCAGGGGAATACAGTTCAGAGAAGGCGGGTCTGAACAGAGATTTCAATTTGTCTTTGATTTCTTGATAGTATTTTAGATTCGAAAATAATAGGTAACTAGGAAAATGTTTTCCACAAAGGGTTATCAGCGACACTCACTGAGCAAAACGGTTCCGTCTCAACAAAAGTACAACATATGAAAACAAAAAATAAAATTATTACTGTGTTTTCATAGTAATGTTTTAAATAAATGTGTCCTCGATTGAAACAGCTTGATTAAGCTGTAGCAGACATTTATCTGTAGAAACTAAGTACAAAAGACTTAATTGGAATATTTATGGAAGTAAAATAAAAAAGAAATGCGTTTCCCTCTTTCTGGAACAATATTTATAACTATGATTTTATTTGAAGGAATCTTTATCGATTTAAACATGGTGTTTGTCTTGACGTAACTTTTGGTGCTCCATTTTTTAGGTGATCCATATTCACACCCTTATAATTTACTAATAATGATAACTTTAAAAATGTTTGCAGTGCGTTCAAGATAGGCATGGGATGCATGGATACGTTTGCAAACACTTGTCTTTCAACAACAGACAAACAGACATTAGACGCTCATGTCGCTGGTGCCAGACACACGTTCAAGTTCCTCTGTGACGACCCTGTCTTCCAGTCTGGTAAGTTACATTCAAGATAGACATGGGATGTATTGACACGATTGTCTATTCGACGAGCATGACATACAGTTGCATGGTTAAAAGGAGATTAAAATAATTCAATGTAGAAATGAAAAGTAAAAAACACCATACGTTGTCTTAAGCAATATTGGGTTTAGAAACACCACAAAACGTGCTAATCGTTAAGCATAAGTAAGTAAAGGTATTCTTCCAGCTAGGTTTTAGACTAAGTATCTAGGTTTTAGTTAGACAATAAGACATATCGAAGACATCAAAAACTGTTCCAGAATACTTGCAGTACACATCTTGCTACAAGGCCATCAGCAAGGACTGGGACAACTGCGCCAACAGGTTCGTCAGTCTTGTCAGAGAGGAGGTGGCGAGGAAGAGCTACACCATGGAGTCTAGACTGCTGGAGCTCTGCTGGTAGGTAGTTTGTAGATGGGTTTTTTACAGAAAACTAGACTTACGAATACAGATTTTTCCGGAATTAGAATAAAAGTATACGTTAATAGCTCAGAAATACACACTTAAATGATAGCGAAATCCCTCTGTAAATGTCTATGAAAGTTTAAGTTGTACTTTAATGCTACTTGCTTACTGCTGCTTGTCAAGAAAACAGTAAAACCTTCAACAAAACCACGTGCCATAAACATGTCTCAATAGACTAATCATTGCACCTGTACCTAGTAAAGGGTGTTTTTATGATCCGGATTATTTTTGTTAAACCACCAAAATTTATCAAACCAAAGAGAGACATAAAATATATACTGTTCATCATCATTCACCGATGATTCTTCATATTCCACTATTTTAAGATTTTTTCGTTGAAAATACTAGCAGACTAGTAGGAAAATGTGCCTAAGAATCCTCCAAATACCCAACATTGTTAAAAACAATTCTCTGTTTCCAGTGCAAGACACGGGTTCCTCAAGTGCGTGTACGTAGCTGCTCGGCTCAAGTGCAAGAAAGAGGAGGCTCTGTTCATCAAGAAGATCGCTGACACGTTGTCTAACATGCGTGTGTACTCCAAGCACTGTCGCAACGTGGACGTGGCGTTCTGTGGATCAGCTGATCGTCCACTCCTGTCAGCGCTGCCTCTACTGCTGCTCTGGACATTGGCCTTGGTCAAGTGAACACGTTATAACGTGGCGTTCTGTGGGTCAGCTGATCGTCCACTTCTGTAAGTTCTGCACCTACTGGTACTCTTGACATTGACCTTGGTCAAGTGAACACGTTCATGTGGCGTTTTGTGAATCAGCTGATCGTCCACTCCTGTCAGCGCTGCCTCTACTGCTGCTCTGGACATTGACCTTGGTCAAGTGAACACGTTGTAACGTGGCGTTCTGTGGGTCAGCTGATCGTCCACTTCTGTAAGTTCTGCACCTACTGGTACTCTTGACATTGACCTTGGTCAAGTGAACACGTTCATGTGGCGTTTTGTGAATCAGCTGATCGTCCACTCCTGTCAGCGCTGCCTCTACTGCTGCTCTGGACATTGACCTTGGTCCAGTGAACACGTTAATGTGGCGTTCTGTAGATCAGCTGATCGTCCACTCCACTGCTACTCTAGACATTGACCTTGGTCAAATGAACACGTTGTAAGCTGTAACTTTCTGTAAATACCTGTAGATTATTTTCAATCAATACATAACATTTTTATTGTCAGATGTATTCAGTTATCATCCCATTGAAGATCCTTGAATAAAGGGTGTTTTCATGTATTAGGACAGTAAGCTAAATTTTTTCTAGGACGCAATAGTGGACAATTTTAGCCTAATGAAATAACTAAGTGTGTGGGTAAAATTTGATAAAGGTTGTATATTTCTCGACTGATAAAATTCATCAAAAAAATAATTATTTAAGAGTCCTTAGATGCTATCGGCCATCTCTTGGATAGTTTTCATCAGCTGCTGAAGAGTTATTTTTCTTCAAACTGTGGGATTAGAAATTTTCTTTATAGTTTTTTAATTATAGTTTTACGAGTACATCTAGGCTCCAAGGACTCTTAAGGCCCAATTAGTAGCCAAATTAGTGTATTTTTGGAATAGGGGTTCGATTTTAGAAGGGAACTTAAAGAAAATTATATATGAGGTTGGCATGTTTTTCGTATAGCGTGTTTTGAGCCAACCGAAGTGTTTGAGACTTGGATAATGGTTGTATCTCTGTGACTTATTAACCAGCCGATTCATTAGCCAGGATCATTAAGCCAAGTTTCAATACTCATTAGGTCACAATAACTTCAATTTCATTCGAATTGCCTTGAACAATTCTCAGATTAACCGAATAAGAACCAAATATGATTACGGTTATTAATCTGGTAGATACTTTTAGGGATCACATTTTGACAATATACCGGGATGTGTATTTAGAGGGTTTAAGAAAAGATCAATACACTGCAATTGAAATGAAGAAGAAAAGACATTTTCAACACAACACATTAAAATCCTAAGTGTATATCTATGTGAAAACATTTTAGAGAGTTCATTTAACACATCCATTAACATTGTGATTTAAGTGTAAAATGTATAAGAACCAACATCTTCATACATACAACAATATTTTCCTTATGAAAGGATTTCATGGCAGGTTAGCATAGTAGGTAGGTTTGTTGTTAACCTGTAATAGTAATCAATAATCCCTATGTTTCCACCTCATGGTGAGTGTTACATCAAATATAATGATGAACAGTTCTGATTAGATTATGTTGGATGTACATCAATCACAAGTTTGACGAACACTGTTGAAACATCTGTGACGATTTATTGGGATTGATAACTTTTAAATTGAGAAAACCCGAAAATTATAGATAGGAATGACTGATGGGTAATTTTGAGTTATAGATTACTCTTTTCTTTTGTTAGATGGAAATATTATTAGGCATATTTGAATACCTTAATCAACTGAAGATATTTTAGCACTACACGGTAAATATTTATTGGTTTATGATATAATTTTTGTAACGAAGAAAAAATAATTTTTAAAAATAGTTTCATTGGGGTTTTGTAAACGTAGGTATGTTAAGCAATCAATCGTATCATCGTATGACGTTTACTGGATTAAGTCCTCCAATTAGCCTTAAACTCGACACCTATTAAAAGTGAACAACAGTTTTAGTGTGTTACAAACCACTGTTTCATGGCTTTGTTTACAGTAAAATGTATTTTTTGATTGGCTGTCATTGATCCTCGACCACTAGAACCGAAGTCCCGACAGGCACACTATTTTAGAAGAACCCCTTCTTGTGATGTTGATATCTCCTAACCACGTCATCTTCAATTGGCATAGAACAAATTTGGATCTTTCTTACTCTACCATTGTATCGAAGCATTTCAAAGACTCCCTAGGGTAAATAACATTATTTTACTTTCAACTTATTGTAAGCTTGAACAATAAAAATAAAGAGTTACTTCTTACACACACTTTCCTGGTGCGAGGTAGAGTAACACGAACTATAAATTATCAAGTTTAGTAGAGCCAGTATTAATATTTAAGTTTGAGACGATGCTGCGTAGGTTAGTTTTAACAAATGTTTAGTGCCCTTGGGTTGGAAAAACTTGAAACCCACATACACTACCTCTAAATTTAATCAAATAGTTGTTTTTTAATTCCAGTTTTTGTAACATTACCCCTTTTTGTTCGTGTGTCTACAAATTATATTACCAAACAAAACAATAATGTTTTGAATCCCTGATTTTCCAAACACCTAAACCTAAAACCACAAATCACAACTGTACCTCCATTGGACAGTTGTTTAGTTAGAAAGAAAAATATTTGACAATAAACTATAAGTGTTGTTTTGGTTTAATATTAAATCTTGTTTGTGAAAAATTAACACACCGCAGGAATATCACAAGGGAAATCATGGACACAATAATGGCCTGTGGTCAATTTGCACACATTTGTTAATAACTGTGATTGTAATAGTGTTAGTTGCCATAGTTTTTTGTTATGGTTTGAATTGCTAACCGAATGGAGGACATTTGTTCTTGAAAACAGTTTCCATAAAAATTCCTTTTACGGATAGTACTAAAATTAGAATGACAAAAATTAATACTAGTTATTTCAAAACTATTCAGCCTTTACCTGTAGAGTGTAATGTGTGTGTATTTTAATATCTTATTAAGATAACTTTTTATTATTTAATTAATTAAATAATTAAAGTCAAGTCAAATCAAATCAAATAGTTTTTTGTTCATAGTATATACATATGAACAAAGAATGGTGTCAGATCTTATTTTTAAGTAATCACAATAAGTACATTAAAATTATCCTAGTTACAATTCTTACCAACAACGCCATTTATATTATTTAAAAATCCATTAATTATTTCATTAACTTTCAGACAAAACACCCAGTAGTACACGATTCTAAGTGTAATTTACCTATCTATTGCCACTAATCATATAAGTGCTTCATATATTTACAATTGCCCCTACATTAAATTTAATACGAGTAGCAACTGACTAAAACGGCTAAATAATTTTGAAATGTTTTACAAGAAAAATTTGAATAATTTAGCAATATTAATATGTGAATTTTAAAGGAATACCAGTCGAAAATTGTGTTTAGTAAGAAATTCCCATAAGAAAGCTATAAATATAATAATAGTTATATAATAAGTACCTTTGGTTTGATTGTTTATTTATATTACAAAACCAAAGTCACATTTATTACGAGAAGTATAAAATAATAAACAGAGTATTGACACAAATTACTTTAAAACCTATTTTAAAGCATTTTATTGGCAAAACTATCACTCAATTTAAACTGAAGTTTCTGCCAAAGTCCATAATTATGTGATTGAGTACTTTGTTTGCTATACAGCAATGCAAGTTGGCAAATAAAATGTTAACACAAAAGCACCCAAACACAAAACACAGTTAATGTTTTTCACCTGGCAATCTATATTTGACTGACTCAATGGCTGCTATTATTTATTTTATACCCTTTTGTACGTATGCACCAAAGAGAATTGGCCTGTTTGTGCAAGCACAGTTTAAAGGGAAAAATAAATACTAGAATTTATGGCATGCACTATAACTAGCAATCTCAATATTTTAGCGAATTTCCCTATAGGGAAGTAGCTATTACCGTAGGTCCCATGGTAAGACATAGGCCCGGGACCGATTTACTTTTTCATTTTGATGTCCCCAGAGGCCAACAACTCCATTCGTTCAAATGTTTGTATATACATAAATGCATTATTAAAAACTAAGTACCCTTTTGTTATCCTTAAGGATAATATTATAGCATGTTGTTGTTGGCTTGTTTATGGATACAGTATATTTTGATCAAAGTTAACGGATTTATTTATTTCATACTAAGCTATTGATGTTGTATAGGTGGTGTTAATCCATTGTTTCTTTCCCTTTATCGGTTCTATAGTTTGGTTATTATCTTTTTATTATTTCTTTTTAATGCTTTTGTCAACATGTTGTACATCATTTTATAGTCTCATACCCATTATATTTAGCTACGTTATGTATTTTAATTCTTTGTTATAATTTTCTTCAGATAGTGGCATATTTAAGGGGTGATAAATTGTTGAATTGAAAACCGATCTTTTGTGTTCTGGAGAGTGATGAAAAGAAAAATGGTGCAGTTTTTATTTTAAATTACACGTTATATATCATAATCTATTGATATTAGCCTACTTCATTTGACGCTAAACTACAGAACTGTGTATAATTTTTTATTTTAGAATACACACTGAGTAAAGGATTGCCATTTGTCAAAGATGAACGTATAACCATAGTATAAAACGAATAACGTTAGCCGAGTGAGTGGTGTTTTGCCGACGCCTCGATTGGAGATAAGTGGTAGTTAGGTCATTATTTTGTTTGGTTATACTTAAACTGTAGAATTGACAAAAGAATTGATAGAATTTACAGTACTTACGCTACTAAACATTCCACAATTCACTACAAGTTACGTGTACATCAAATAAATACCTCTATACAAAATATATTATAGGTACATATATTAAAAGTTACCTTTAGGAGCTCGCGATTCAGCATGATCATACTATGGGAACAGGGGTTTATGGGGTAAAAGTGGTTTTTTTCACATTTTAGAACCTAAAAACATAAAATTTTTGAATTTCTTTCCCAACCATTTTGTAAAGCTTAAAAAA